AATGATTTCAACCGATATGCCAGCTCTCATGTACATATGTTTTGGACTTTCTAGTACATTTAAGAACTTTCGGAGGGAGTTTAGAAATATTATTTTTAGGTGGGGTAAGTAACCTCTTCGATTGTAATTTTTCTTTCTTTCTTTCTTTGGGTTGTAACATTGTAGCCCTTACGACGAATGTACTCGCTTTGCAAAGACAAGTCCTTTATTTTGTTTATTTTGTTTTTGTTTAATATCTATCTACCCTCGAATTCGTTCGTATTACTTTTTGTCTCGGTTTTTATTTGTGTCTTTTCAAAACTGTTTGTGACTTTGTGTTTATTATAGAAGAGGTTGTAAATTGTAATGCAAGTTATTTTGGGATTGACATGTATTCGTTTCTAAGCAATGTATAACTTGGTTAGTAGAAAATCAACAAACTATACATGATATCCATGTTAAAAAAAGCGTTAGGCGTTAGTCGGGCGGTCAAGGTCTGCCTAGCGCCTAACCAAAAAATTGGAGATTAATCGAAGATTAATTTTTATATTTATTTTAATTATTTTAATTATTTTTTAATATTTAATTATTTTTAAAGATTAGTTTTGTTATATTAAAAATCTAAGACGTTGGCGTTAAACAAAAACAAGTACGTCTTGGTATATAAATTTTACACATAAAAAAGATATTGCCCCAACCAACGATTAAATTATTCGTTCTATAATTACTAAGGGCATCAACATATTTCAGCGTTTTCAGTGATTATATATGTCCGTTTCGTAATCGTTGGTAACAAACTAACAACAGTAAATTTCAACGACTAGAATTTCAAAATCTTAAAGTTTTAATGCCTAGAATTTTCAGCCTCTAGTCGCTGTAATTCATCATCAAAATTAGTTGCAGAACTAACGACTATAGCACGTATACGATTTCATTACTATTGTTGGTCACTGAAGCTACAAAACGAACAACAATCGCTAATCATTTTTATTGATCGTCCCTATATATATTCACTTGATTCTTATTGTTAGCTCTATACATGATTATTTATTTTCTCACTTTCATAAGAAACAACGGAGTATATATAACTAATACTGGACCGGTATTTTAAACATTTGTAAACTATATAAGTAACATAAAATATAATCTTTAAATATATGGTTTTATTTGACAACTAGCTATCCAGCTAACCCAAATAATGCAACAGTTAAGAGATTCGCATGCTGAAATCATCAAAAAAAGAGTAGCTTAGACCATCTCCAATGGTCTTTCAAATTTTAATTTTTCCTTCATTTTGAAAATAAAAATGAAGAAATTTTCTCTAATGGTGCTTCAATTTCACCTTCAAAATGAAGAAATGAGCAGTGTTCCTTCAAATATGAAGAAACACTGTTCATTTCTTCATTTTTTGAAGGTGAACTTTTTTCTTACAAAATGTAATTTTAACTTTTTATATGTTTTGTTTTATACCCAAACAAAACTTATATATTTTTTGTACCCAATTTTTTTTAAAAACTATGGATTTATTCAATCAAATTATAAACTAAAATGCATTAAGCACAATAAAAAATACAATAACATATATTAATTAAGAAATACAAGAACACAGCCAACTACAAAATTAAAAATACATATCTAATACTAAATTATAAATAAGAAAACTTAACATAACATAAACTAACAACTTAATAATCTGAGAAACTATTTCTACATCCATCAAAATTATTAAATTTTTGTTGAAATTTTACAATAAATAAAATAAGTAGGTGAAAACTTATAAAACAGAAAATTGAAGAATCTTATTAGCAATTAGTAATAACATAAAGAGATAGAATATACCTAGAATATTCTTTTTGAAGAAAAAAATGAAGAAAAGTTGATCCAATGGTTTCTTCATTTTTTCCTTCAAAAATGAAAAAACTTCAAAAATGAAGAAACTTCAAAAATGAAAAAAAATGAAGAAACCATTGGAGATGCTCTTAGATAATTGGAGATACCATATTATAAATGTAAAATATGTCCGAAAGCGAGAGCCTTAATAGTGGATAAAGAAAGAAAGTATGGTGGTTGTACTTAAATTTCTAAAAAATCCAAGATCGAAATTTGTGACTTTCGGCGGTCGATCCTCTTAAAGCTCAAACGCTCATGTGCACTCTAATTATGCACGCAGCCTTCCTCTACGCTTGTCTGTTTAATTTACGTACATACCTACGATTTTATTTCCACATCTAATACATTTTTTTAGAACAGGACACATATAATACATGTTCCATCACATTATTGGTCAGTAATTTCTTACTTTATTACATATATTTATAACTTTATAATGCATGTTGTAATAATGAACTAACGACACATACATAATTCAAAAGATTTAAAAAAAGTATGTTCTTAAAAAAAAGATCCACTCCATAGACGATACTCTAAATAATACTCTCTATATTTCATTTTACATGGAGTTTTAGAGTTTTTTATTTTGTTTCACAATATAAGGTGTTTCCATATTTCAATGCAAATTTTAAATGTATTTAATGGTTTATGACTATTTATATTCTGTTTTCATATATTAGTTAATTTATTTTTAAATAAGAAATATTAAATAAATTTATTTTTGAAAATAAGAAATATTCTTAATCTCTGTGCTTTCACTCAAAACACTAGTAGATATTATGAAATGGAAGGAATATTAACATTATCGAAGATTTTTGTATAACTAAAAACTTTACCTGTCCCAGTAACTTTACTGTGCTTGTGTTACTTACTTTACTTTTAAGGTTATTATTCTCCACTTTAACAAAAAGAAAGAGAATATTATCCTTTGCTAGAACTTATTATGACACAAACGTGTCCTTCAATTTATCGCGTGTTCAATCAAAATTAATTAAAGCATAAATTAAAGTTTTCATTTGAAAAGCAAAAAAATGTGAACTAGCATAGATTGTAATGCTGATTTATCTGTATTACTTCAGCTAAATTGTTAATGTTAAACTAAAAGTCTTGATCAGTTTGTACGTATAAAAACCATTTATCTGGTCCCCCCCCCCTTGTTAGCTATATTTCAGAAAAAAAGGAAAAAAAAATTGACTAAGGTGCACTCCATAGATTGTTTGTGCTCTACATATTTGTCAGAGAAAATAATCTGATCAATTGCTTAGGTCCCATATTTCAAATGGATTCCTGATTGTACACATCGATTAATTGTTCCAAATCACCCAGCATGTGTAGTATATACGGCCTGACCAAATGGGCTTTAACGGATACATAACTCGACCCAAAAATTCAGAGAAGTCAAGACACATATTACTGTTCATATGGAAAAGACAATTAATTAATAAGAATATGATATTTGGTCAATGTTACTTGAAGGGTACTCTTTTTTTTTTAATCATCATATTCGGCAAGTAAGCATGTGCGTTGAAAACAAACAAAAAATAACAAATAAGCGTGTGCCTGATATTGTTGTCATATTGTACCATACGACTCTTTCAAAGACTCCTACAAGTTCTTTTTAACCGCATTATAGTTTTCAAAGGAAATAATACTAAGCGGCAAATGATGAAAAGAACCAAAACCATTTTAGTTAGTTGACAAGACTCACACACACACCCCGCAAAATAAAGAAGCGTGTGCATGACTTGGTAGGATCAGGATATTGTACCGTACGTACGAGTCTTTCAAAGTCTCCCCTACAATATTTCAGTGGAAATACTTTCTAGTCATGAAAAGTGAATAACAACATAATGGCGATCAAGCATTCAAGCGGGTTTTGGGTTAATGATAAAGTTCGCGTGTTCTCCAAATATTGTGCGTCATTGAGCTTTTTAGTTTATTTTTGTCTTGTAATAGAGATACCATGACGGAAAGTCTTATGAACTTTAAATTCGCCCAAAATTCATCGATTTAATTAACCAAAATTAAAAACATTAGAATGGCTTTTTTTTTACGGCATGTCATAACTGTAATTCATGATTTGGGGATCTCCTAAGTAAACTGAACTAATATATAAGAGACAAATATCTTTTGTGATTTTCATGGGATTTTTATAAGACCACCTCCAACCATTATTCATCAAAACAACAAATTTTGATGTTGTAAATAGTGTCAAATTTAGTGTTTGGATAAATAGTGATTTTTTTCATCTCCAATCATAACACCAAATTTCACACTAAAAAATATATTTTTATTATTATATTATTAAATTTATAATTGTTTTATTTTTAATAGTTTTTTAAAAATACTAATTATTCATATAGTAGATTAACGACTAATTATTTATAACATTACATGAAAATATAATTTTAATACATTATAAATATTTTGACAAGTCAATAACAAAATAATTTTAGTCTTATATACCTTTATAATAAATTTTATAAACTTTTATAAAAAAAATTATAAACTTTTATACGTAATATTATAAATTTCAGTAATATAAAATTTATAAGTAATAATAATATAATATGAAAATTATAAGTAATAATAATATAAAAACAAAAATTTTATAAACTTTTATAAAAAAAAGTATAGCACTCCATATACAGTCCTATTGGAGAATGACAAACTCTGTTTTGCACCGATTGGAGAATCCAGAAGCCCTGAGTTCTCATCTGAGAACTCCATTTCATTCTCTTCTTTTTCTATTATTTTTTATTTTTCTTGTAAGATACTTTCAATAAAGAGACGCTTCTATGTTTAACATCAGCCCATCTAGCTTGTAAACGCAATATTAAAGTTACAAAATAGTAAAAAAGCAATATCAAACTAGTATCATTTTATTATCATACGTACGACTTACGAATGTGTGAGAATTGAGAAGTACATTTGAATATAGTTTTGTTATTACGTTTGTATTGGTTTTAACTTTTAACTTACATATATATGTAGATAGATATCTAATATGAATGCCGCGTAGTGTAAGTAATATTAAATGGTTTTTGGTCCAAAGGCATTTAAATGGTTTCATTGACAATTTGCAACTTCTTACGGTGGATACTTGAAAGCTTTTTTTCGCGACATAAGTTTTCTTTGTTTGGTTTTTTGTTATCATTGACCCTGTAAGCCTTTACTTGCTGGGGCCTATTATTACTTGTCTACTGATCCCTCATCCCTCCAAAAGTTTTAAATATTAATTGTGATAATAACCTTGGAAAGTAAGATATATTCACTTTGACCAGGGAGAGGATAACTATCTATTTATATACACAATAATAATTTTATCAGGATTAAAGCACGTGAATTATAGTGATTGTGGTTATACGTTAACCAAAAAAAGAGACTCGTGTCTAAAATAACAAAAATGAGGTAAATAATTGGAAATTAATCTTTTAAAGGGACAAATTATGCTTGACCGAACGAATAAAGTCAATAGAAACGCGTCTTGGGTTATGTTACTTTATGGTGCCAAGTGGTGTCGGCTCTGTTCTTTTCTTCGACGCTGCGTCAGAACATAACGGCTACGACCGCTACGACCGTAATACTTAATGAAGCAAAACGGCCACGACCGTAATACTTAATAAAGCAAAACGACTATGTAACGGAGAAGCTGCTGGAAGAGGAAGCGTCGCAGGAGGTGGCCGCGATACCTAAAAAATGACGCTGTATTTTTCCAGCGTCACCAACAACACCGGCGTCACCGTTAAACGTAATCGCAGCGTCATAGACATATGAACATGAACACAATTTTTAAAATCTCTATAGTGTATTTTTTGGTCGCCGAACGCTTAACGCAGCGTCGAAGAACAGGGCCGTCCTATTTTACTTTTTAGCGTCATCCTCAGTGATGTCATATTATATTTGTTTGGTTTCCAGTGATGTCATATAAGATTTTATTTTGGTCACCACATGAAACAGAAATTAGAAACACTACACTGTCTGTCTTGTACTTAGGTGAAAGATTACGTCGGTCCATTTCAGAAATCCGAATATGAGCAGCAGGTAAGGATATTGAATGGATGACTTAAATTTGAAAATTATTATTCGATTTTTTATTTTGGTAAAATAAAAGACGAGAATTTCGGGTAAGTGGAGCTCGGTAAATTCAAATATATAAGTTGTCTAACTTAGCGTTGGGAAAAAGTATCATTCAAATAATTAAATCCTATGTGAATGTGATATGATGCATCAAATCTGATTTGTTATAAGATTTAACGTATGGCAAGTTATAAGCTCTGGTTAAGGCAAGTCGCTTTATTAGGGTGGCACTTGTAATAACTACTAATGTCACTAGATATTTATCGGCTACACACAAGCAACTGTATCAATTCTTTCCATCTATTCTATCTTGACTCGATAATTTTTTTTGTTTGTTTGTATCTTGACTCGATAATTGCTCTACTAGCTTGTCTACCATCCATTAAAAGCAAAGCCTTATCACTTATATTCGCCAAGGTTTGCACGTCTGTTTCTAACAAATTAGATTATCCTTCAACTGGTTTGCACGTCAAGAAAAAATCATCTATTGAGAAAATAGAAATAAGAGAGAAAAAGTAAATTAATTGGTAATATTAATCAAATTTTGTTTGCATCAATGATTTTGTTTTTTGTAATAAAACATGCATTCTTGGATTTGAATACTTTAATGCTGATCCAACAATACAAATGTTATACAAACCGCCAGACTGTATGTCATAATCGCTTGAATCGATCATGTAACCTAGGGGTGGGCGCGGAGCGGAAATATCCTAGATTTTGGGGATATCCGTGATCCGCTTCGCTCCGTCCAGATAATCATTTTTCCGATCCGTATCTACTCCATAATTATCTGGATATCCGTTTTCCGGATATCTGCCTAAATCTGAATATTTGCCGGATATCCGATCCGCCCCATAAGAATATTTAAATAATAATATATTTAAAATAAAAATTAAAAAAATCAAAATTTAGTTAAAAATGACAATATTTTCTTTAAAAAAAATATTTTTTAACTTATTAAATTTTAATATTTATAATAATCAAATTTATAAAAAAAAACTCACAAAAATTATATTTATATAATAATTATACACTTTATATGAATTATTATCTATCTATATATATATATATATTTGTATATATATTAATACCGGAGCGGATATCCGTCTTAATTTTTTTAGTATTTGCGAGTTGCTTCGTTTTTAACAGATATTAAATTTTACTATTTGCTTTGCTCCATAAAATTACGGATATCCGGATTTTTCGGATCGAATCGAAACGAATAACGGATCGAATCAACAGATATTTTGCCCAGCCCTAATAACCCATTGAACCAAATGTATCTGGTGAAGAATGTATTTTAGCTGAATTTGAAAAATGCAAGAATAGAAACTAATTTACATACTTGCTGAATTCGATTTTGAAAAGAAAAGAAATTCATTACAGTAGAACTTCTATAAATTAATACTCGATAAATTAATAATCACTATAAATTAATAAATTTTGCTGGTCCCAAGTCGGACCAATGTAAAAATCCATCAAATTCGATAAGATAATAAGATAATAATTTTTTTTGAAACTCTTATGTAAATATATGGTCCCAACAAAAATATAAATTAATAATGATATAAATTTATGAAAATATATATAAATTTAATATTCTAAAATATGACTAATGTGTTCGTTTTTAGTTAAATTTGAAATCTCATTGGTTTTCATCTCTCTAATTATTATATCAGTAGCTTTTATTGCGGTTTTACTATATACATTCAAAATTTATGATGATTTTTTGATGTGATAATTGATTTTCTTACATATAAATGTTTTTAAATGTATTGTAGTGTTATCTTCAATTTTATCATCAATAATACTGATAGTAGCCATAGTTTTTTTTATAAATTTTAAATTTATGAACATGTATATTTTTCTATGGATAATCTAATATGGAGAAAACTATTTTATTGTGATAGTTATGATTTTTAATCATAATTTATATTATGATATTTGTTAAAATTTTAAAATATAATATTATTCCAAAATAATTTTTAGAAAATTATATGCAGAAAACAATTTTTCTCTATAAATTAATAATTATTAATTTATAAATAAATTAATATCACGATAAATTAAAAATTAGGTGAACACCTGCATGTTACGTGCGAGTTTTTCTTATCAATTTTTTTAAAATTTTTTTTAATATAATTTTATAAAAATTAATATATTCATCACTTGTTATTTACTTACTTGTTAATATTTTATTCTAAAAATTTTAAAATATTAATTTAAAATACATGTTGAATATTATTTAATAATTTAAACTTATATTAAAATTAATAAGTATCATTCAATATTTTTAATTAGTTATAACATAAATTTTTGTTTAACATTTACACAAATATTAATTAATAATTAATTAATAAAAAATTAAAATAAATATAATCATCATTTCATTTGTTACTTGTTAGTATTTTATTATAAATAATCCTAAAAAAATTATTTAAAATACATCTAGAATATTATTAAGTAATATACAGTTATATAAAAATTAAATACATATCTATTAATATTTTTAATCAGTTATAACATAAATGTTTGTTTAACATTAATATAAATGTTAATTATAAGTCAATTAATAAAACAAATTTTTCATATTCTTTAAGTGCTTTAAAATTTAATATTAAAATTTATTAATTAAAATTTAAGTGATAGGTGTCAACCTCTCCAATGCTGATGTGTCAAGCCTATGGAGAAAGTTGAGCAACTTTTATATATAAGATATCCGCACATAACTTGCGGGTTTTTTTCTTCAACTATTTCAAATTTATATATTTTTTATTTTTCTAAAAAAACATAATCATCAATTGATATATTATTATAAATCAATCAATTTAAAATGCAATATCATTAAAAAATTAAATTTTTATACCAAAAAACCATCAATATTTTTAATTAATTATAACATAAATTGTTCAATATTTACATTAATATTATTTAAGAATCAATTAATAAAAAAATTTTCATTTTCTTTGAGTGATTAAGAACTTAATATTAAAATTTATTAATTAATTTTATTTAAAAATTATAACTTTAAATTAAAAATTGACATATGTCATTTCCATATTAACACTAAAATGCTGAGGTGACACTCATATAGAGAGAGTTGGTCATCGTTTATATATAAGATATCATGGTCTTAATATTATTAATTTATAGAGGTTTTACTGTACTTAGAAACCACCGAATCTAGTACTTTTAAGTTAAATAAACATCATTAATAATATAATCATCACCCCTTTAAAATAAGAAAAGAAATGCAATATCTGGTTGAAAAAAGTGTAAGGAAGACTTGACTTTTATTTATCTGCTTTGTATGATTTTTAAAAAAAAACACGAATTCATCTTGACTTTTGTCTCTGTCGTCCCTTCCTCGCATAATCCTTCCATCGATAATTTTCTCCATCAAATAAAACCAAACTAAAGCACAAGAGAATCTCAAACACGCTTCTTTTTCACCCTTTCTTGCTCCAATCACTCCTAAATCACAATCTGAGATTTTCTAATCACAACCTGAGATTCTGAAACTGCAGCCGGAGAAACACAGTCAAACGCCGCACAATCAAAATCCTTATCTGTTTTGATTCTAATTTCTGGATCTTTCTGTTGCTTTTCTATGGGATGGTCACTAACAATTCTCAAAAGAGCAATCTGGGCATGACCAAGTCCATGAATTTCTTTCAGAATATCATTAATCCATTCAAACGCAGCTCCAAACGAGGTAAATCTCGTTTGTTTCAACTGTGTCTTCTTTCTTTTTTTGTTTTGTCCCCAGCAAAATTTTAGGGTTTGTAAATTGACTCACCTCTTCTTCGTTGACTCAAGGTCTTGAAGACGATATCGAGAAAATTGCAGCTTTGGAGCAGAAAGTTTTCCCATTTCAAGTCTTAGTTTCCGCTACCAAAAATTTCCACCAAACCCACAAACTCGGCGAAGGTGGATTCGGACCCGTCTTCAAGGTAAACCCCAATTTGGCATTCTCAGAGATCAAAGTTTCCTTTTTTATTCTTTCCAGTTGCAGATAATCAGCGTAGCGAGTGTCTTTTTAACCATTGTGGTTGTCATTTCAGCAGAATCATTACTTGTCTGGGTTTTAGCCTGAAGGGTTTTTGTGTGTGTGTGCTCTTTCATGCCGCTGATGAGTATCAATTGTGTGTAATAGGGAAGGTTACCTGACGGGAGAGACATAGCAGTGAAGAAGCTAGCTCAGGCTTCAAGGCAAGGGAAAAACGAGTTTGTAAACGAGGCCAAGCTGTTGGCTAAAGTCCAGCATCGGAATGTCGTTAATCTCTGGGGTTATTGCACACACGGAGATGATAAACTCTTGGTCTATGAGTACGTCGTAAACGAAAGCCTCGACAAGGTCCTTTTCAGTAAGTTTTCTTCTCCTTGTCTCATTGGCCTAGCCTCGAATGTTATACATTGATATGTTCATTGATGAAATGAGACGTTTTTAACACGGTGTGGTTGCTCCTTTTGGATGCAGAGTCCAACAGAAGATCAGAGATAGATTGGAAGAAGAGGCTTGAGATCATAACTGGCATTGCTCGAGGACTGCTCTACCTTCATGAAGACGCTCCAAACTGCATCATCCACAGGGACATTAAGGCTGGCAACATTTTACTTGATGAAAAATGGGTTCCTAAGATTGCAGATTTTGGGATGGCCAGACTCTATCAGGAAGACGCAACACATGTCAACACACGCGTCGCAGGAACCAAGTATGCTCTCTATCACTAATCCTTAGAAATCTCAATTGCATAGATGACATTTTGGTACAAATGTCATGTTTCACAGTAGAATGGTGATTCACTTGCTGTTCATTTTTCTCTCTTATGCACAGTGGTTACATGGCTCCCGAGTACGTAATGCACGGTGCTCTATCGGTAAAAGCAGACGTATTCAGCTTTGGGGTTGTGGTTCTGGAGCTCATCAGTGGCCAGAAGAACTCGAGCTTTAGTCTGAGACACCCTGACTTGACTCTTCTTGAATGGGTAAGCCCTCTAGTCTCTGGTCTCATTCTCCATTGTTTCTAAGGTTGTTGTGATGGCCGATGCTAAAGAGTTCCTGATTGTGTGACACAGGCATATAAATTATACAAGAAAGGCAGGACCATGGAGATAATAGACCCGGAGATAGCAGCTTCGGCTGATTTGGACCAAGTCAAACTCTGCGTTCAGATTGGTTTGCTCTGTGTTCAAGGTGATCCGCACCAGAGACCACCAATGAGACGAGTGTCTCTGCTTCTGTCGAGAAAACCGGGACATCTTGAAGAACCGGAGCGTCCTGGTGTCCCGGGATCTAGATACCGACGTCGAACGCATCGTCCTTCAGGAACATCCTCGGTTGGAACATTTTCGACCACTGGATCAAGTACAGATTCGTTTGGTTCGAACTTGAATACAAACACAGGAACCGGTGGAGCTACTCCAGCGTCTTCTAGGACTCCGACACGGACTCACGCTACTAGAAGTGCTGGTGCTGGTACGAGCTCTAGCTCTGACCCTCATGGGAAACGGCCTATGATGAGTTATTAAAAGTACATAAATCTGGTTACATTTGATTGTAAATAGCGAGCTTTTTAATATTTTTTGGGTTTTTGAAAAGTAAATTATTTTTGGCTGTGTAGTGTTTAGGACAGGGAAGGTTTACTGTTGTATGGTTCTCATATGAGAAAAAAAAAAATTCATTCATTTGTTACATAAAGTATTAAAAAAATAAATAAAAATCCTCGCACGTAGGAAAAAAGCATATTCTCTAAATCTATTGGTTAAATCTGGATCCTGAACTCTCTGACAATGACCATTAACGGTTCTTTAAACCAAAAAAAAAAATTTCTAACACCTTTACTAATTAATTTTCAGCTAATAACGTTTTCCAAAAATGGTTACAAAAATGACCATTAACTGAATATTTTTTTTTAGAGATGTCTAAAACCAAACGGTCGAGATATTTTTTACAGTGTGTGTGTGTAAAAAAATGCGTGAGAAGCGTTCTAATCGTATTTCGGTTTTGGCTAAAGTTATTTAGGTCCACCAAAAGCCGAATTCAAGAGACGAGCCACACGCGTCACCTTCCCGTTTAGCTTACTCTCCTTCTCATAACTTCTTTAAGGGATTTTTCATCATCCTCCTCCGTTCATCTTCTTTCAGATTGAAAATGGTGTCGTTCAAGGTCTCTGTCGTCTCTACTTCGCCTATCGATGGCCAGAAACCTGGAACTTCTGGACTCCGTAAGAAGGTTCGTCTGTTTGCTTCTCCTCTTGTCATCGTTCTCGCGTTTTTTTTTTTTTTTTTAATTTTGTTGGAATTGGATTTTAACTGAAACATTCTAGTTCAGATCGCAACGAAATTGATATCTCTAATCTGTACCTTTTGTTTTCATGGTTGCGAATCCGTTCTTCTACTTTGTTATAAGGGATGTAGTCATCTGATCCCGATCCATTTGAGATTTGAATCACTCATTGTTTCATTTTTCGCGCTGTGACATATTTGAAATTGTTTTTGTAGTGTTTAACGCTTTGGTCTGCGTTTGTGTTTAAATCGAAATTCTAGTCTCTCCTGAATCTAAGGCATTGCAAATTCTTCGTATGATTTTGGAAACTAAGGCATGTTGGGATCTCTTTTGACGTCGAACATCCGTTCTTCTTAACAAAACTTTGATTGATCAATTAGTCTCGTCAATCCAGTTTTCATTTTTCATTAGCAATCTGCGCAAACTTTGGTAGAAGTGGTAGATCAACGGGCATTTGTATATCAGAATTTGGTATCCGATTTGTATTTTGGGAAACAGACTCTGTCTTAGCCCCTTCAAGTGTTCTGTGTTTCTTGTAGACCAATGTTTTGACGATTGGAATCGTTTAAATCTCTCTGATGGATGCTATGTTGGTCTGATTTTACAGGTGAAAGTGTTCAAGCAACCCAATTACTTAGAAAATTTTGTCCAGGCAACGTTCAATGCTCTCACTCCAGAGAAAGTCAAAGGTTAGATCTCTCTTAACCCCTCTTGATTGTTATTCAGTTAAAAGCTTGTTTACATAAATGAGCCTATTTAGATAACTGCATATTACATGTGAGCATGATTATTTGTTAACTTGTGCAGGTGCGACACTTGTGGTCTCTGGTGATGGTCGTTATTATTCGGAGGAGGCTATTCAGGTCAAAGCTTTACCATTCATTATGTCTTCTGAATTCCTGTGAACTACGTTTTGCGTCCAACCCCTATTCGCAAGTTCCTTTGGCTAACACTGATTGACCTGCTGCTATTACGTGGTGGACTCTTTAGTTTCTTTCTCCTGAAAAAATCAAGTTCTTTTCATACCAAATGTATCATACTTTCCTCTTTTTGTGTGTGTGTGTATCATACTTTCCAGTTGTTTATACATTTTTTTTTTCCTTACCTGGACAGATTATAATCAAGTTGGCAGCAGCAAATGGTGTTAGACGGGTGTGGGTTGGTCAAAACAGTCTGCTATCAACTCCTGCTGTATCAGCTGTTATTCGTGAAAGAGTAGGAAATGATGTGAGATATCTTCCTCAGGCCTCATGCCAGCTGTTTTTGTTTCTTGCTGTTGTCTAAAGCTATGTGTGTTCGCAATATGTAATGACGTAGAAACTAATCTTGGTCTCCAATTTCAGGGATCTAAAGCCACAGGGGCATTTATATTAACAGCAAGTCATAATCCTGGTGGCCCTACTGAGGTCAGTTCTGTTCTTGTTCTCACCCTTTTGTGTTTGTTCCTTTCAATTCATACTCACACTTAGCATCCTTTTCATCATTGCTTAATTTTAGTAGACTATATATGCTTCTCTACGATAATATGCTGATTTCATGCTATCTGTCTCAGGATTTTGGAATTAAATACAATATGGAAAATGGTGGACCAGCTCCTGAATCTATCACTGATAAGATTTACGAGAACACAAAGACAATTAAGGAGTACCCAATAGCGGAAGATCTACCCAGTGTATGTAACATTTCTGAATGATCCTCTTATTTGTCAGTGATCATCATTTCGTCTTGTATTTACTAATCATTTTTTTTCTGGTCTTTATATTTGAACGCAACAGGTTGATATTTCTGCTATTGGTACAACCAGCTTTGAGGGACCGGAAGGAAAATTCGACGTTGAAGTTTTTGATTCCGCAGATGACTACGTCAAATTGATGAAGTAAGTATTTCCATCTTTGTATATATGAGCATGGTTCTAGAATCTACTCCCTCTCTGGTCTATGTATCTAAGAGAATGGTTCCAGAATCTGCGTTCTCAATGATCTAAAATATTTTCTCACCTCTTCAGGTCAATCTTCGACTTTGAATCCATCAAGAAGCTGCTTTCATCTCCAAAATTTACATTCTGGTACGTAGTTTGCCGACGTCCCTTAATATTTCCTTTTGATTTTGTTTGCCTGTAAATGCTCATGTCTTGGATGTTTTATTTCTGATCGCTTAATGAAGCTATGATGCATTGCATGGAGTTGCTGGAGCCTATGCACACCGTATCTTTGTCGAAGAACTCGGCGCACAAGAAAGTTCGTTGTTGAACTGCACACCCAAGGTATCATTTTTGTCTTATCAGGAATTATTATTCCCTAATATTATCATAAAATACATGTTGAACATGGTATCTTATCACAACACAACAATTTGCAGAAAGATTTTGGAGGAGGTCATCCAGATCCCAACCTTACCTATGCTAAGGAGCTCGTGGCACGAATGGGATTGAGTAAAATTGATCCTGGAGTTGAGCCTCCAGAGTTTGGCGCTGCTGCTGATGGTGATGCAGATCGTAACATGATCCTTGGTAAAAGGTAGCCTACTAATGCTCCTTTAACTGAGCACAGAGATTTGGAGTATACCACTCTCACCTATAACCAAAAAAACATCTCTTCTTCTTAGGTTTTTCGTAACTCCTTCGGATTCAGTTGCCATAATTGCTGCAAATGCTGTTGGAGCCATACCGTACTTCAGCTCTGGTTTAAAAGGTGTTGCAAGGTATGCATCCGGAATTCTTTCATTGTTGTTTTCTGGTCATAGATTGAAAAATCTGGACTCTCGCATCATACATTTCTGTTATTATAGTACCATTTTTTCTTGTTTAATTCTCTTCGTTTACATTCATATTTCAGGAGCATGCCGACCTCTGCTGCTCTTGATGTCGTTGCAAAAAACTTGAACCTGAAATTCTTTGAGGTACACGTCACTGTGCAGCTGCTCTCTAGCTTCTACTTGTCACAATAAGTTAACATAGTCCGTTTCTCTAACATAACTTCATTCCAGGTTCCAACAGGCTGGAAATTTTTTGGCAATCTTATGGATGCTGGGATGTGCTCTGTATGTGGTGAAGAAAGCTTTGGAACCGGTTAGCGTCTGTTGCTAGATCTTCACATGTGTTAAAACCTTAACAACCCTACACAGCTCACAAAGAAGCTTTTCCACAGGTTCGGATCATATCCGCGAGAAAGACGGGATCTGGGCAGTTCTTGCTTGGCTGTCTATACTGGCTCACAAGAACAAGGAAACCCTTGATGGGAATGCAAAACTAGTGACAGTGGAAGACATCGTTCGCCAGCACTGGGCTACTTATGGCCGTCACTATTACACTCGTTACGACTATGAGGTAAAGCTGTCAAATTTCTTTAAAGGGTTACTTACATACAATATGCGAAATAAACAATACGACTTACCAATTATAAATGCACTCCACAGAACGTAGACGCAGCTGCAGCTAAAGAACTCATGGCGCTCTTGGTTAAGTTGCAGTCTTCGCTTCCTGAAGTGAACAAGTACGCCTCTCTCTCTTCACTTCTTTTGATTTTCTTTTTTTTTACATAAACGACTTTCAGACTCGCTCATCAGCTGAACAAGTGTTTTTGGATAATTGTTCAGGATTGTGAAGGAAATCCATCCGAACGTGGCAAATGTTGCAAGCGCTGATGAATTTGAATACAAAGATCCAGTAGATGGCTCTGTTTCAAAGCACCAAGGGATCCGATACTTGTTCGAGGATGGATCACGACTTGTAAGTCCTGTCCAAATGGATTCATAACACAATACTTGTGATAATGTCTCGTACTGATCCCGGGATGTTTTTACTTGTCGAATAATGTCGTAAAGGTGTTCCGTCTCTCGGGAACTGGCTCAGAAGGAGCAACAATCAGGCTCTACATTGAACAGTACGAGAAGGACGCCTCAAAGACCGGCCGAGATTCTCAGGATGCTCTTGCTCCTCTGGTCAGATTCAAGTACCTTTTAACTACTCAGAAAGTTACCCAATTCGATCTTTGTCATGTTTGTTTAACACCAATTTGTTGATAACTGGTTTCTCGCAGGTTGATGTTGCTTTAAAGCTGTCGAAGATGCAAGAGTTCACTGGCCGATCATCCCCAACCGTCATTACATAAGACAGCTTGCCGATAATGCTGTCTCCTATACTACTCTTGTTCCAACTTCGATTCTTATGAATTTGGGTTTTTACTTTTTTTTTGTCTTACAAAACTATACATACTTCCAAACATCTATCATAATGGAAAATACAGATTGGTGGCAATTGAATTTTAGCTTTGTACGAGTTCCCAAAAGTGACAAGTTAAAAATATGCAAGAACATCGGAACAGGTGTCGCAGATGGATACATCATACATGGTAAGAGGATCCAACAATAAACTGGTACATAATACCTAAGACTTCAACAATTGAGGTGCAACGTATTTGCTTTCCATTACATGATTACAAAACTAAGGTAAATATTTAGTTATGTGGGTACTAGAATGGTTTAACTTACAACTAACATAAACGCACGACATAACCCCAAAAGGAAAAGAGATTAAAAACAGGAATGGTGCTCGAGGCATGTGTTAGTTTGTATAAAGTCTTGGTGACATGGAAAAAAGGAAGATATGAGTCAAAGGTTCACGGGTTCTTCTTTGGGTTCTAAGTCGATCCAAAAGAGAAGAGAGCTGTATCATTACCATCCAAACACTCCTTCCAGTTTAGGCATTCTTCCTTTGTCCTCATATATCATTTGTCTATCTTTTACTAGGCTTGTCTAACAAAGACTAACGATTTAGCGAACCATCAGTTTCTTATATTCATAACATTGGTGGTTAGCTATTTATATACATATAAAATTTATAATGATTTTCAGATTTTCTGCAACAACTCGATATTGACGTAAAGAGAGACGTCCTACAAGAGAAGTGTTACGGAAAATTGAAAATGTATCATTTTCTTATATAAATTCTTTTATAATGGGTAGAACTGGTACTATATTCATTTTATGGAGTTGACATTATCGACTAGTAATTGGTGCGTTGAATGTATAGCTCAAAGTTTGGACTTTCGCCCCTGTTTAGATTATTGGATCTGGAATTGATGAGTGTATAAGACGAAGATTTCAGAACTAGAAAGTAAAGGATGATATGATATAATAAACGTATTACTTATAAGTAACTCTTTGATGGGTCTCTATGCAAAACTCAGACTAAGCAACTTAAGAACTTATCTTGTTGAGGGATATATGACTATGGTATTGCATTTGATATCTAGTATAATTCGGTAAGTTTCGTAACATGATGAGAGAGACTCTCATTCTCTTTGTCTGTATTACTTTATATACTTGTACAAACAAAATACAAAGGACGTATATGATCACAAATTCACAATAGACAATAACGGATTTTAATATTAGTGTATTATTGATCGTACTTCCGTCCTTTATCTCATCTTTAAATTATATTCGATAGTGATAGCGCGTCAACCCGAAATATGTGGTATCTTGAAAAAATGAAAAGTAATCATAACAGATTAATTAATAGTATTTTATTATTTTGTGTATATATTATATGGTATGGATAGTGACTGAATATGCTTTTTTCCATTCTTGATAAAATTATCTAAACTTCGAGTTCTAGTCTCTGAAGAATATTCGGTATGTAATTGGATCGTTTCTTACTTATATTTTTTCTACAATCAATTAAGAAGAAGTGAATAATATATTTTCATTCCTGGCTTTATTTGAAAATCACATGAATATGTAGGTATACCAAACACACTGTGTATAATATGATTCTTCTTCATCTTGAATGAAAATATTTTGGTAAGACGTTGAATTCTTTTTCAGACTTTCAGTATATGAGTGTTTGTGGAGAATGTGGAGAAAGATGGTATGTACTTTTACAAACGATAATTTTTGGCCAGTATTAAAAACGAATTGAAATCGAAATTCTTGAACTTGTAAATTGGTGTGTGTTCTTTCTTAGCTATGTTTTCATATCTGTTGAAGTGTTTTATGTTAATTAGTGTCTGATTTCTGAAAAGTACTCAGAGTGATAATTAAGTCTGTTTGATAGTACTTCCGAATGCATGATTCACAATATGTACTTGAATCCGAGTATTATCATTTTAAGTCCCAAGTGATAGTGGAGTTACAGCTCATGCATGCAATATCAATCATGATGCATTGATCGGCTACTTTCGTCAATAGGTCAAAAAACTAGTTTTTTTGACCAAAAAATCAAGAAACTAGTTAATAAACGCAAAACTTATCGTTCAATTATTTATTTTCATCACGTTATCTTAACCTACTTAATATATTTGATATATTCTAAAAAAAAAATTAAGTAATAATAATCTCGACACAAAAATATATTAACAAGTAAGGAAAAGTAGTCACACAAACAGTATCCATAACAGACATTCAGACAGCAACGACTAGTAACTCTTTATTTATTAATTAATACAGTTTTATGTATACAAATTCAATCTTCCAAGACTTTGATCGATGACGGATATATATTCGATTATGGTATTGCCTTGTCGGCGTAGAGGTTAACTAAAGCAAGGGCATTGCTGGTCAGCTTCTTGACCTCATTCACTCGCGTACAGACGTCATCTTTGATGGAACCGTCATCGTGAAAATATTCAAACCCGTCCGTACAAGTATACTCATAAGTAAGAGCTGCGCTAAGCCAAGTCTTGACATGACTCATCTGAAACCTAAACGACTGGACCGAGACCGTGGAGACAAGCGCCTTCATCTGTTTCATTGAACCTCTCATCTCATGGACAGCATCCTTAAGATTCTCGAAGCAGTCCTTGAGGATGACTGCATCGGTTGGGTGGTTAGGTCTACCACCACAACCATGGTCAACGCAGCCATGAGATGAGAGGTTTTGGAGGTAGGAGACAAGGTGAAGCGTGTTGGAGAGAGTGAGAGAGATGGCTGCACGTGCGAGGCGGTTCGAGTCATTGTGGATGGAGTTAGCAAATGAAGAGAGAGACGAGAAGCAGAGGTCAGGGTAGAGTGTGGTGTAGCAGCTCGTACGGATGAAATCGGAGCCGTCGTAGGGTGGGGGATAGACGGTGAGGATTGGTGGAAGAAGGGAGGAGAAGAGAAGTAGAAGAATGAGTCTGATCATTGTTACTATCATTATGTGATGTGTTTTGGATTGATGAAATCCTCTTTTTAGAGCATGTACATCAGGGGATTAAGAGGGGTTCATGGCACAGTTTTTGAAACAAAAGAGCTTAATTTTGAAGAGACAGTATCATCCCGACGAACATGAATAGACGGTATCATCTCGAAATGGAGCATTCTGATTGGTCGAAAATTATAATTTTTGAATTAAATAAAAAAGAAAAACTAAAACCAAAAAAAAATATTATTATATTCTGGTGAACCCCTCTCTTTGGGGTTCACTGATGTACATGCTCTTAGGAGTAATTTATACAGTTTTTGAAAATGGCACTACCCGTTATGTATTCTTGTTGTTTTAAATACATTTTGAATTTCTATTTTTTTATTTTAAATACATAAGTATGAATATTAGTAAATATATAAAAATTAGGCTGAGTTATTATTATAACAAAAAAAAAAAAGTTAGGCTGAGTTTGGAGGTAAACCGGAATATCTCTGCCAACAAATGGTCGGCATGTATGTTTTATGGGCCGTGCCGAATTTACAATATATCTATGTATATACTGAGAAAACACAGAATAATATTTTATGATCATGTATATATGGGCTGAAGAAGAAGGGACCGAAGGTGGGATTATGGGTTGTGATGAAGTTTCTAGGCCTTGTAAGTGGTCTGAGAGATGTGAGTGAGTCAAAGTCTATTGTTTGTTTGAATGTTAGTTTTGGAAAATCAAGTCCGATGCTGTGGGCGTATATTGGTAAAGCGATGATTACGGAGTTACAACAACACTGACAAAAGAAAATACGTTGTGGTGATTAATGTTTTGTTTTTGCTAAGAATGTAAATATATTTTCCTTACAAAAAAGTTTAACCTATGAATTCGTTCAATGGCAAAAAAGAATCGGTGATTAATGTTCTCGCAGTTGACTTGAGGAGGGTGCGCCAGAAATGCAAATCTAATGCGTTAAGTTGATCTATTATCCTGATATACGAGAGTATTGATAGAAAACTCATGATGTACACACTAAATGAAAGAGTAATTTTAAAGATGGTGAGTGAGTAACTATGGAGATGATGAATGAGTAATGATACTGATGTGATATCTTGATTGATATAAACTATAAAGTAATATTTTTAATAATATCCACTTTAGGATGTAAAACAAAATGTTCAAAATATCACAATCGATTAGCCCAAACAAATAAAGCGAAAACTTAAATTAGTTACCTGGCTATATCATTTTAGATCCTACCCAAATATTACGTTGACATCCATAAGGAGCCTAGGATTACAATGCCACATATATCAACGTCAATTGTGTAACCAAAACTAGAAAATTTTTGTGGTTGATTAATTAACGCATTGATTGTCTAACCCCCCAATGATACTAATCGATTGGCCTAAATTCGTGGCGGATTTAACGACATCACCGTATCATGATCTTCTTTGTTACTTTTTTTTTTTGTTCTCTTCTTGGTCGTCCATTTCTTTCTCTCCTTTTTATTTGGTGAAATAATTTCGCTTCTGAGAAAAGAAAATGAATTTTGGCGAGAAAAATGAGAATTAAAAAAGAGTAATAAGAACAAAAGATTTAAAAAAAAAAAAGCTACGTGGCGAATACAGCGAAGATGATCACATGTACAATAAACCTTTCAAGTATTTTAGTCAACCCCCTGTAATTGTTCGTAGTACCCATTAATTATTGCGTTTTTCATTTAAACAGACACTTTTTGTTTTGGTTCCTTTTCTTTTAAATGGGAATAGTCATTTTCACTATTCAAAAAAGAAATTAAAAAACCTAACAATAACTGATAAATCCATTTATCCAAATGGGATTTTAATTATAAAAAATCTTAATTTTACAATAACTTTTGGAGAATATTTTCTCATAATTAACTTATAAATATTGCCAGCCATTAGCCATCCGCCATCGTTTGGATTTCTTATTGTTTTTTCTCATCGAAATGGCGTCGGATAAGGGTTATGGCCTCGCGTGTTTGTTGTTTGTATGCCAACATAATTTCATTTAAACAGCCTCGCGTGATTAAGCGTACTATTCGGACATTCAAATTGGATAAAGTCATAAAGATGACTCATTTATCAATATGTGCGGACAAATGTCGCTTTGCTATTATATGTTTTTTGTTTCATCCGTTGATAATTCATGTAAATGATTCTAAAATGTCCAGCTATCTCATTAATTATCACAACAATTAATTTGCAGTTGTTAGCAATTGTATAGTAAGTATCACCTAAAGAGTAGCAGTTTCATGTGCCATACACGAGGCTATTTTTGTATTTTAAAATAATTTTTTTTTTCAAAGAATTCTACTTTCATAGTCTCATTCGTTAAAACTTAAGAGAAAAGAAAAACAAAGATAACACCAAACTCACAGTTCATCTCTTTATCCTATAACAATTATGCGGTAAATCATGTTAGCAACATCATACTCTAAACCAAAAGATCGAAAACAAAAACGTAAAAGTTACTAAAAATGATAATGTGCATAGATGATTGCTAATGTTCTTGTTTTTATTTAAGCTCGTAGAAAACTATTTTGTTTACTAGGGTTTAATCTTGTTTGTGTCCTTAAGCACCAATGCTGCACTATCTTGTACCTCATTGTAAATAAAAAAAGGAAGTATATAAGTATCAACTCAATGGTCTTTCGATAAAAATGAAGAAGAATATAATAAACTTTTCTAAAAAATACTATATATTAATTTCATCTCCAAATCATCGAAATGCGAAGATGTCTTGTCCAAATACACATCACATGATTAAAGTGGATTACAGATTGCAATCGACGAGAAATTGGATCTGAGCTAAAATTTATTACATTACTATATACATCGAGTTTAAAGGTCGTTCATAGTCACAAATTCGCAACCACGAGTTTTATTTTGTCAAAAACTATTATCAAATCAAACAAATTCTAAGAAGTTCATGGATGGGAATCTTTTTTCTAATTGTAGGTCCAAACAAGCCTGAATTAATGGAAAACTATACGAAATTTTCAATAGTGATTTATGATTATGCCTTGGTGAAAAAGAGTAAAGCAAAAAACAAATTAATCACAAAACTCCAAAAATACCTAATTGAGATTAAAACACGTGTCGCGTGACAATAGGGCGGTGGGTCACATGGTAAAAATCACAAACTTTTTTTTATTTTGTCTCTTTTCATTATTCATTTTCACAGATTTCCACTTTTTTGGATTCTCTCACCGTACCGACGGCGTACACACCGTCTGCATTAACTAACGCTCAAACCCGAAAACCGGTTTTAAACCCGACCCGGTAATCCGGTCCTGACCCGGTCAAGCGAATTTAGCCTCGGAAACCCAAACCCCCATACCCAATCTAACATGGAGCTGCGTCCAATCAAAACAATCCACGTGGTGATCATTCATTGGCGATTTCTCTGGAATCCAAGAGGACCTTTTTAGTATAAAGAGCCCTTCGTTGGTTGGTCCTTTCAACACTCCCTCTTCACAGTCTCTCTCTCTCTCGATTCCCAAACAGAACAAACAAAAAAGAAAGTAAAACAGAAAAGAGAGAGAGAGAGAAATGGCGCGAAAATCCCTAATTTTCCCGGAAATCTCTCCGTCGATTCTCTCCCTGATTCTGCTCCTCGTGCTTCTCTTCTCACCACCGATTCACGCCGGACACGATTACCGCGACGCGCTCCGTAAAAGCATCATGTTCTTCGAAGGTCAGCGTTCCGGCAAGCTTCCTCCCGATCAACGCCTCAGATGGCGTCGCGACTCAGCATTACGCGACGGTTCCTCCGCCGGCGTAAGTCTACATTTCCTCATTTCAATTTCTGTTTTCCGGCGACATTTTCCCCTGATTTTGCTTCCCCTTTTGTTTTTTCCTAGGTGGATTTATCGGGAGGATACTACGACGCCGGAGACAACATGAAGTTCGGATTCCCGATGGCTTTCACGACGACAATGCTGTCGTGGAGCATAATCGATTTCGGGAAAACAATGGGACCGGAGCTGAAAAACGCCGTGAAAGCCGTGAGGTGGGGAACTGATTACCTCCTAAAAGCGACGGCGATTCCTGGAGTGGTTTTCGTTCAGGTCGGTGACGCTTACTCCGACCACAACTGCTGGGAAAGGCCCGAAGACATGGACACACTTCGCACCGTCTACAAAATCGACAGAGCTCATCCCGGTTCCGATGTCGCCGGTGAAACCGCCGCCGCGTTAGCCGCAGCTTCGATCGTTTTCAGAAGACGCGATCCTGCTTACTCCAGGCGGCTTCTCGACCGTGCCACAAGGGTACGTTACAAAATTTACTCAAATTTGGTTTTTACTTACGCGTGTGAGATTTCCTCTGTTCTTAGCATTAATGCTTTCTCATTGTCATTGATTGTGGTTATTTATTTGTTATAATCTTGAAACTACTAGTGAAGAGTATAGGTCGTTAAAGCAATTTTTTTCAGTTTTCGACATTTATTATTTATTTATCTGTTTTCTGTTTGTTTTTATCCTTTTAATAATAGAAAAATGGTTAAATAGTCAAAAGTTTAAATAATCATATTCTTTGCTTGTGAGATAAGAGATGCTCTCTATCTTCAATAATGTTTTCTTCAGTACTTTTTTTTTCTTTCTCAGCTGATAGTTGGCCCATTTATGTGATTCGTTCGAAGAAAATTATTCACCAAAAAGATGATAGTATTTGACTTTTTCGGTATTTTTCCTTACGTATATGTATGGTTGAATGAATAATTTCTGACGATAGAGAAGATATATCAAATTCACGGATCTGAAAACTATGTTTGAAAAATATTTTAAAAAGATGATGTTTTGATTAACACACGTAACGTGGTGCAGGTATTCGCGTTCGCAAACAGGTATCGCGGCGCGTACAGTAACAGTCTCTACCATGCGGTGTGTCCTTTTTACTGTGATTTCAACGGTTACCAGGTAAAAAAACTAATAGTTGAGCTTAACTTGGTATTTTTACTATTTTAGTATCAGCCGTTGGATGATTTTGACGTCTTTT